GTACGGGGGGGGGGGGATGTCTTAGTGCTAACCACACGAAGCCCTAATCCCACGACCGAGATGCTGAGCCACCGCTGGTCGGCCACGACCCGTATCGGGCTGTCGAGCCAAGAACAGGACAGGAGTACTGTATGTTGGTGGTTAGATCTAAATACCACGTCATCCTTCCATGAGCCGCCCACGTTCACCGTACGGGGCGTGATTCCCACCACTCAGGCAAATAAAAATTTTGTAGTACATCTTGCTCTGGTCTCCGTCTCACACACACACATACACGCACGCACGCACACGCGCACTTCATGTAATTGAATACAACATTGATATTTGCTCATAGCCCACCAAGGATCATTGTCTACATTATTTATTATACACCCTATAGCAAATATGAGAGTTTATTGTTGCACTTTCTATTTAAAGTTTGTGGTAATTAATATTTACATTTTCATTATTATTTAGTTATTCCCTACATGATTTTCTTTTTCACAAATTTACCTTATTGCGAATTTTCAATTATGAAAACCAATGTAAAAATTACCTTTTTATTTTATGTCATTCTTATGATAATAATATTCCTTTTATATTGCTTTGCAATGTAACATTTAGGTTTTATTGATGCACGTGAAGTAGTAGTGACATTTGCCTTACAAATATTTAATTTCACGTATTTTCCAAATCAAATTTTTACGGAAAATCGTTTGATATTTAATAACACTTTTATATAACTCCTTTAATTTACCCTTGTTTAAAGGACAAGGAAATTTTTTTTTGTTCAGCCTTGGAAACAAATTAGATACATTTTACAAACCTTTAAATACGAGCACATTGCTTTGCTTCTTCTCGTAATAATGTAGAGAGGTATGAAATGGTACTTGGTTTTCTCAAGGCAACAATACCATGAAAATTACATCTTTAAAGCTTTTCATTTATTTCTTACCTTTTCTCGAACTCCATTGTTTTGGTCAGCGGTGCGTGCACAACAATTCCTCGCCCTAGACACGAAATATTAAGCCGACACTGCATTTAGGAAGTTATCCGCTTTATAAAATAATATTTGTGTTCTTTAATGAGCAGGCGTAGTTAAATATTTCCGTATTTATAAAGTAGTGAAGCTTGTACCATTACAATATTAAGGTAATATATAAAAACTACCTGTCTTAATTTACTAAATTAAGTGTGCAGTAGTACCCTAAAATCATTGTATGTACTCTGACATTCGTTATTGTAGCCCTGATGAAGGACGAATAAATGGCCGAAACGTCGACAATAGAATTAAATTAATAATCTACAACTTTAACTCAAGAACCTTACAAATGTAATGATATATTTCAATTCCTAAATTGTCTGGATCTATTTAGAGAATGAACTTCTGTCATCGTCCTAGACTTACATCATGCAAACTCTAGAATAACAGTGGGTTTTTATAATACTTCTGGAGAAATAGTATAGAGATGAAAGGATATATTCTAGCAATGTAAGTGATAGGAAAAAGAAACAAATCAATGAATATATTTAGTACTTTATATTTTAATGACCTTCTTTCAAAGGAAAAAGTCACTTGAAAAAAAGCACAAAATTATTTTAAATAAAAATCTTGATACTTTGGGTTTTCTCGCAGCGGCTTCACGGTGTTCTGGATGTTGCAAGTTGAGGCATTGCATTACAGTGGATGACTACAATCTACAATTGTGGCACTGAAACAAAAGAAATGCGAAAGTGAGCGATAGTCATTGAAGAAGATACATTAAAAAATTAAGAAAAAATTGAAGTGAGGTCTACTGGTGTTACTAATTTTACAGCAAATTAACACATCAGAAATCGTTCTGGAGTATAAGAAAAATAATTTTTGGTGTTAGTTAACTTAAATTATCAGTTGTTGTCACTTTTTACGGAGTGGTTGTTGAGGTTGAATAATTGTAGAAAAACGAGAGTACTATACTTGGTGATGGATAAATGTTTGTTGTTAGCGCGATGATTAACCCAAAATACTCAATTTATTTGTTATCGTAAGCGGTTAAGGAATGCAGTATGTACATGTTGCTATAGTTATGGAGTATAAATAAAGAACAGATGCAGGAGCATGTAAATTTACGTACTTCGTACATCAACAATTTTGCAGATAGAAAGGCAAATCCCCATGTAGAAGTTAAGTTGTACAGGCGGCGTACTAGTCATCAGATGATACGGAAACAATATTCTTTCTGATCACAGACCCCGACCTGGTGGGATATTGGTGGGAATAACCCTGATTTAAATTGTGATTTATTTAATAATGTTCTAAAGTGTTTGTTGATTTGTATTGCGCACTTGCTCAAAAATCGATGTGGGTCAGTCTTCACCAAACTATTTAATTCAAGTCATCAAAAATTTCTTATCTAACAGAACTTTCTCAGTAACAATAGAT